CACCTAACCCCAGTAAGATTAGCCCATACCACAAAATCCCCAAACCAGAGATGTTGGCGTGGATGTGGAGAAAAGGGAACACTTCTACACTGCTGGTGAGAATGCAAATTACTTCATTCCTTTTGGAAAGACATCTGGAGAACACTTAGAGAACTAAAAATAGACCTGCCATTTAATCCTACAATTCCTTTATTAGGTATATATCCAGAAGACCAAAAATCACATTACAACAAAGATATTTGTATCAGAATGTTTTACTGAAGCCCAATTCATAATTGCTAGGTCGTGGAAGAAGCCCATGTGCCCATCGATCCACGAGTGGATCAATAAACTGTGGTATGTGTATACCATGGAATATTATGCAGCCCTAAAGAAAGATGGAGACTTACCTCCTTCATGTTTACCTGGATGGAGCTGGAAAACATTCTTCTTAGTAAAGTATCTCAAGAATGGAAGCAAAATTATCCAATGTACACAGCCCTATTTTGAAACTAATTTATAGCTTTCATAGGAAAGATATAACCTAATTATAGCCTTAGAATACAAGGAGGAAGAGGGGAGGGGAGCGGAGTGGATAGGTGGATGGAGGGTGATTGGTGGGGTCACCTCTATGGTTTATCTTACAAGAGTACAAGTGAATCTTTCTAAAGGCAGAGTATGAATGTCTTAATACCTAAGAAAATAACATAAAGGCTACGTTAATCAGTTTGATGAGAGTATTTCAAATTGTATATGAAAACACCACAGTGTACCCCATGATTGCATTAATGTACACAGCTATGATTTAATTTTAAAAAAAAACTTGATAGTATTAGATCTTTACCTTGAGAACTCATTCGGCACATTATAACCAGTGCACACAAGCACCATAAACCCACAGGATTATTATATTTCATGAAAAAAGTTAATATAATTCAAGACTTTTTAATAGTTTTAGCCACAAGCTTATAGGACCCCCCAGATCCATGATCATGGAGAAATAATTTTATATAAATTCTAAATTTATATGGAAATATAAGGAATATAAAGATACGATCATTTTAAATGGTACATATTTTGCTAATTTTGTAAATCTCTTTCCAGGACTCATCTCTGCTTCTACAGTCCACTCAGAATGTGACTGTGAATGCTCGAAACTTAGAAGGGCAGGTCACAGGCAGGTTAATAGTGGGTGAGTCCGGTTTCATTACATACTTTGCATGCACATGGTCCATGAATAGTGCTAAATGGATAGGTTGCTTTTCCTTCTAAAGAATTCAAATCTGTTTATGAACAAAGTATGAATTTTCTAAATATCACACTATGTTGACCATAGTGTAAGAATAGTTTGCTTCACGGGGTCATATGGGTCAGGGGCTGTCCAAGAAATAGAGGCCATCAGCTAGTACAAGAAACGAAATGTTTATTGTGGGACACAAAAGAATCTCACAGCCTCCAAAGGAACAAAAGTAACTGGCTCAAGAGAACAGAGACCAGAGGCTGAGAGTCAAAAGGATATTCAGAGCCTCTCCCTCCTTCCTTCCCACATGCTACATCTGTCTCTCCTCCTCCCTTATCTCTCTCCTCCCTATCCTTGCCTCTTTTCTCTCTCCTTTCCCGCATGTGCTTAGTGCCCCTTCATCCCAATGTGTCTTTCCCCACCATTTTTACTTGAGTGTTATGACCACATTACTTCTGATTCTGCAGGACCTATGGGGCCTCCTCCATTTTTGTTGGCTAGCTATTGTTCTCCACATCAACCAGGTCAGTCTTCAATTACACAAATTCTAAATCCTCCTAAGTACTCTAGCCAAGCTCATCTGTCCTGCCAACTGCCCTTGGGTCTGCTGTGTACACCCATCCAATCAGCTGAGGCCAGAGAACAAGGCCACATGGGAGTGAGGTCACATGGAATCCTTTGTAGGGAGAAAAGGGTCAGCAAAAAAAAAAAAAAAAAAATACAGACGAAAGTGATACCAAAAGAGCAAATCAGCTGTTAAAAGGAAGGTATTACATTCCCTACACCCATCAACAGAATGAGAAAATTAAATAGTTCTTGTGATTATGGGAAAATAGATGAAAGGGGTATTGCCAACCCAAACTGGTAATTTTCAGGGTCTCTTTTTTTTAATGGCTGTTTTAAATAATGAAATAATGTTACATTGAAAACTACAGCCACCTATTAACTTGATGATTGCTTTTTATTATACTAATATTATATTAGTATATTTAGTATGCTAATATACTAATACAAGATATTTCCTATTTTATGTTCTCCTTTTAACCATTTTTTAAATTGCAGATTAATATGAGGGTACAAATGATTAGGTTACATTGTGTTTCTACGGTAAATTTCAAGTTGTAGCTGAATCCCTCAGATGTTTTCCTTTAATCTTAATCACTTACTCTAATGCATTGTGTTTCTATTTTGCTTAGAAGTTTCACTGGATTACCAACTAAATTCAATGAAATTCTCAGTGGATCCAGAGATACGCTTGGGTTTATCCTGCTTACCAGTCTTTGAAATTTGTCTAAATCAAATTGTATTTTCTTATTGAATTATACAATATTATAATTTATCTTTGCTATCATTTCCTAAAAATCTTTAGGTGTCTATAGCTTTTAAATGTTTAAGGGAGTTTTGCCCATTTTTTCCTCATTCAATTTGTTAAATGCCTATGTGCCACTTTCTATCTGCTGTCAAGTAGTAACAAAGAATACAATTATTTCTTAAGAGTTCCAAAAGCAGAACTTTTTAAACTCTTATAAAAAATTAGTTAGCACAAATTCTCATTTCTTCATCTCTTTGTTAATGTGCATTTTCATATATCAATATTATACAAGGGATTTTAGAGATAATGTAAACCTGCCTCTCATTTCATAGGTTAAAAAAATGGAGAAAAGCTAATTTTCTCAGGAACATATACCTGAGAAATATACATATACTTAGTAGCAAGGTCAAAATAGGAATGGCCCTGAACTTGCTTCTTTTGGCCAGTTGCATTTCCACTAGCCTTTCTTTCCTCTAATCAGATTTCCTAAAATTGTGGCATGCCATTAACTGCTGTAGTTAATCCAAATAATGATTCCCATTCCATTTCTGTCACCAAGGAATTACTAGGGGTTATAAAGGTTTGCTTATTTTTTTAGATTGTGTGTTGAAATTACTTTGATTTAAACCATTAATCTCAAATCTTTAGTTTTAACCTTGGTGTCTCACATGTGGTAAAGTGTTTAAATCAGTGATTTCTATTAAACCTTTAGTTGGAAAGTCTCTGCTATATTGAGAACTTTGAACTAAGATGTATCACTCTGCTTACCAATCAAAGATTTTTTTCAGTAAATGATTTCTCACAGTGGCAACTCCTTTTATTTTTTTTTTTAAGAGATAGTCTTTATCGCCTTCAGTAGAGTGCTGTGCTGTCACAGCTCACAGCAACCTCTTGGTTGCTCTTGGGCTTAAGTGATTCTCTTGCCTCAGCCTCTCAAGTAGCAGGGACTACAGGCACCTGCCACAACATCCGGCTATTTTTTGTTGCAGTTTGGCTGGAGCCAGGTTCGAACCCACCACTCTCAGTATATGGAGCCGGTGCCCTGCCCACTGAACCACAGGCGCCACCCCACAGTGGTGACTCTTTGTGTCTCACATTTCCTAAACGAAGTTAAATTTTGCCAATTTGAATATTAAGCATAATTTATGTTAACTAGCCAAATTAATCTCATTTAATTAAGTGAATAACTATTTTATACTAAACCACTAGGGAAAAAAATTGACATCCAATACAGTCAAAACCAAAACTCCTAACAAAATTCCAAAGGAAATCAAACTAAGATGCTGGCACTAGTAACTAGCACCTCAAATCTTTGAACTAGAAGATACCAAGTCATATGCAACAACAATGGAAACTTCCATTGTTGGAAGTAAATACAGCTCTGATTACTTCAGTGCATTTTTATTCTACTTCAAATAACAGAAATCAATTCTGGTTAGATAAAAACAAGAGACACTCGGAAGTATGTGAATTGCACCCAGATGGGGGATGGGGTTTGGCAGTGTGTGTTTTCTGAAAGCCTGAGCCAGGCTGCAGTTAATGTGTTCCTGGTGCCCAGCAACCTGCCTAGGTATAGCATCTGACTCAGCAGCACCCCTGCCCTTTTCCCAGAGGCTTGTCTATGGCAGTGTAATCACTACAAATCCAATGTAGGATTCAAATTACAACCAAATAAACCCAATAGAGGAGCTGGTGATTTTTATGGCAAGTTGGTCACTGCCACCCAGACATCTAGGTCACTTTCCTCCAGTGCTGGACCATCTGCTACAGCCACACTATCTCAGATCCAGAGCTCTGACAGCATTTTGCAGAACTTTGATCTTGCTGAGAAATAGGAATCTTACCAATTCATCAAGTTCTAGAGTTCTTTGAATTTCTGCATTCAAAGAATTGTCGTGATAAGCTTATATGAAAGACTTATTTACTCAGCGTGTCAATGACATACATGTAAAACACTAGAACAATAAAGTGAATATAGTATTGCAGAATTCCAAGGGTGTCACATTAACAGATAGCAACGCTAATGGCAGCCAAAGTATCTTTGGCTGGAATGATTGAACTCATAAGAAAAGACATTTGGAATGATGCCAGAACTGTCAGTGTTCCCACAAGTGTGTGTTTCTCTAAAGTCACCAAGATGTAGGCTTGTTTCTTCTTTGAAATCCTTCCTAGAGAAATGGTAGAATCAGGACAAACAGGATGGTGACTCAGAATCTGAAGATGAAAGATGTCCCAGGGCAGTGTGCCACAGAGAAAAGAAGCTTCAAACACAAGACTAGAACAGGCTTGGAAAGTGCTGGAGAAACAAAAGGAAAACAAAAGAATATGTATTTAAATTTTCAGCCATTCACGTGATCCTCAACATTCTGTAGAAAAATTGCTAAAGCAGCTAGTGAACTCTAAGGAGAGGTGGGAATTGAGGCAGAAGCCCAAGTACTTCATCTCCAGATTGATGGGAATTCATGAGTGCTCCCTCTTTAACTTCCATCCCTCCTGCAACAGGGTTCTGCAGACAAGTAATCAGATCCTTCTTTCTGCTGCACAATCCCGTCATCATTGCTCAGGACCATGGCCAGCAATTCTGTTAAGGAGGAGAGCCCTGGGAGCGGCGATTATAGGAACCAATGCCAGAAAAGAAGCGACAGCTTGATGCCACGATGAAGAAACTCTCTGGGACTGACCAGTGTAGACACACAGACAAGAGAACATGATAATATCTGCCAGAATTTTGATTCAGCTCTTCTGAGTACCAACCCCTCATATCACACAGAGTAAGCTGCAGAAACTTCAGCAGAAAGAGGAGCACAGGAATATGGAGAATTAGATGCTGAAGATTGTGTTCCAGAAAATGGAAACTCTGGACACTGAGAAAAAGAATGCTGAGAACGATGGAGAAGAGGGGGGAGGTATCAGTCTGGGGGAGGAGAAGGAACCCTGTGGTGGACAGGTTGATGTGAACCACTCTTCATGAAGAACAGCTGAAACGTTGCAAGAAGCTGCTGCAGAGGAACAGAGGCCCTGCTACTGCCCTCAGCACTATTGGGGTTCTCATCTAGGAAGACTTCCAGAAAAGCCTCCAGGTCAGGCATGGCAGCTTAAGCCTGTAATCCTAGCACTCTGGGAGTCTGGGGTGAGTGGACCGCCTGAGCAAAAGGGCGACTCTGTCTCTAAAAATAGCTGGGCATTGTAGTGAGTGCCTATACACCCAGCTGCTTGGGAAGCTGAGGCAAGAGGGTCACATGAGCCCAAGAGTTTGAGGTTGCTGTGAGCTATGATGCCATAGCATTTGACCAAGAGTGACAAAGTAGACTCTGTCTTGAAACAAAACAAAACAAAACACCAAAGCCTCCTGGCCCAATGGAAGAGCACCGTAGGAAAATCCCCAAACTGAATTACATTGAATTAAATAGCACTGAGAGGCCAGGAGAAAGCAACTTTCACTTGAGAATAGTGAATGCTTTCATAAAAAGAACAAAGAACAAGTCTTCAAGAAGGCAAGTCTAGCAGCTGCAATGCCTGGAAGGATGGAGTGAAAAGAATATGTTAAAAGGAAAACCAAGACGAATCCACTTTCCAACTCCCCCCAAAAATAGACCATTATGACAATGAATTATAGCCATAATGCTCAGTCCAAAAACAG